ATATTGTTTTAAAAAATTATTTGTAGAGACAACGGCATTTATTTGGCGCAGTCAGAAGAATTGCAAAGTAGTAAGCTAAAAAGAGTCTGTTTATTTGCAAATGCATATCAGAACCTTAAAAATGATTAATTACCTAGCATTTTACGAGGTATTTTAAGTGCTTGATATAAATAAAAAATATTTTACCACATCAATTTTTATACGAATAAAATTAAAAATACACGATCGGCTTTAAAGAATATATTTAATGTACGCCCATGGCTGTAAAATAGACATGTTTACATACGATACACCTTCGATAAAGTTCTTAAAATGTACTGACTTTCATTCAATTCTCGCTCACTGAATTTTCACCAGTTCCTGTTTGATTCTACTCTTCTTGAGTTGACCAGTCGATTATAGGAAATAGAAAACAGGAAACTGAATAGTCAATAGTTTGAGTTGATCTATCGAGTTAGAGTAAATTTCATTTCGTGTCTAGAGCCTTTTTAGGAAATGTTAGAACGTACAAGAGGTCAAATTTTTGTTGTTGAAAGAGAAAATAGGTTTGATTGATAACATTAATAGTTTAAATTCAGGGCCGCCGAGAGCAATGGTGGGGCCCGGGGCAAAACACTTCCGTCACATATTGTAATCTATTTATTTAAAGCTGTCAGACCCCGGGGATTTTGCCTCTTCTGCCCCTCCGACTCGTCGGGCATGTTTAAATTAAAATATTCAAGGGTTGTAGGTGTGAACACTGATGTATAAAAACAGAAGTATGCAATTATACTCTTCACACAGTAGTCTGTGAAGAGTATTAAGATGGGTACAAGCAGATCTTAAAACGTAAGCATATAAGGCAAGCCGAGGACGCATGAGCCGAGAATTCTCGGGCATGAGCGTGCATATATGGACGGGCTTCTGGGCGCGGCATATTCTTCGTTCTGTGCGTCCAGAGGGGGGAAACTGGTATGCGCAGGCATGGGATAGAGCAAAAATCAACCACGTCCGCGTGGCGCTGCAGTCGGGTGGTGGGGTAGGTGGTGGGAGTGTAAAGGACAGGTGAATATTGATTTTTGTGGGGGGTGTCATGGCGTCTTGCGTGGCTTAAACCAAACGTGAACATTGTTTATTTATATTGGTGACTGTTGTATTCAGTTGTTTTCATTTCCAATTTGCTTAATTGATTTTGTTGACCACTATTAATAAGCTTGTTTTTCCATTATAAATTTGTGCTTTTTCCGCTGTTATTTTGTGCTTTTTCATAAAGATGCGTAATTATAGAAAATGTTGTGTACCGAATTGCCTTGTTGTGGACAACAAGATGCATCGCCTGCCCCACCCTACGAATTCACCCGATTTATTTGATATTTGTGCACTTGCTGTTCGTTGTCCAAGATTTAATAATAAAACAAGACTACAAATTTATTCCACCTTTGTAGTATGTCATAAACATTTTGAAGAGAAGTATAAAGTAGTTGGCTCTCGTCGAGGTCTAACACCTGAAGCATTTCCAACGCTATTCCTACCAGCAGTTCCTGGAAGAGTAGCGGATTGACTTTCCTCAAATAACGTAGAAATTGAATATGTTGATCAAATACCTACTTCAAGTTAAGGTTCGAAGTAGAAGCAGACTAATAATATATGTTGGACTTCTTTTCGAGAAGGAAAGTTAGTAATCTACTTATTTATTTTATACTTATACTGTGTATTTTCTGTTTCATGACATTTGGGGTTGCAAAGCTGTATCGTAGAAGAAGAAGAAGAAGAAGCAGACTAATAATATATGTTGGACTTTTTTTCGAGAAGGAAAGTTAGTACTTTACTCATTTATTTTATACTTATTGCTGTGTTTGAGAATCCACATCAGATGCATTTTTTACATCTCGAGCCTTTTTTTATCCACATACCTATATATAAATCGTTTATTTAGTCAAAAAAACTATTTTTTACATGTCAATACATCTTCACGTTTAAAATATCAAAAATACATAAATATAGAATCAACATACATTTAAAATGCAATAAAAAATACATAAGATACAGTACACTTACATGTCAACTATACAAAACATAATAGAAGAACATGAAAGAGAAAAAAAAAACGTTTGAAGAACATTTAATATCCTCAGACAGATTATTAAAAGCCTGTACACCTTTAAAAAACACTGAATTTTGGGTACATTTTTTCGTGGCCTTATAAACTCTAAAAATGTTCTTATTACCTGTTTATGTTCATGAACATCCTGATTATAACTTAAAGTATTTTGTAAATATACTCGGGAGATTCCTGATTTAATTTTAAATATAAAAAGCAGGGAATAGATAGCAAATATTTTTTAACAGGCAACCACTGAAGCACATTCAACATGGAATTGACTGGTTCCAATCTCGAACAGCTCAGTATTATCCTCAGACCTCTATTCTACAACTTTTGCAATCGTTGCAACTCATTCTGGTTGAGCAAATACAGTATAGTGGCACAATAATTAAAATGAGGTAATATTAAGAGTAAGTATTATAAATTATTATTTTAGCCCATTTGCCGAGATGTGGAGAACAGCGCCTCAAATAGTTTATTTTAAATCGGACACATCTGTCCCATTACATTTACGTAAACTGAATCACGTGATCAAAGATTTACTACATCTCAGTTGCATCCGATGTGGATTCTCAAACGCGGCATATACCTACTGTGTATTTTCTGTTTCATGACATTCAGGGTTGCAGAGCTGTATCGTAGATATTGGACTTATTAAAAAATAAACTATTCCTCGGACTTATAATTTTTTATTAATACATTTATTTTCATGAGATTGTACTTATACTGTTTTTCTTTTTTCACAGATAAAGTTCTTCACAAAATGATGGACAGTGTTGTATCCTGGAATATGTAGCAGCCATCCAGCTACTTCATACATAATACAATTTTCATATACATTACATTTTTTTAAATATTGGATTTGTATTATATAATATATATTCTTTAATAAATTTATTTTTTGAATATGCTTGTTTTTTTTATCTAAAAACTGTTAACCAAATTAAGATTTGTTCACACAAACTGCATTTTTGCTTTATTATAGCGTTTTCTTGTTTGATATCAATGGCATTGAATCAGTTTTTAATGCGGATAATTTTTACTGTCAAATTTGAATAGCCCCGCGCTTTTCTTCTCTTCTTCTTTTTATTATTTTCTCTTCTTTCATATGGCCTCTTACCAGACAAGGACTTAATTGAAAAAAAATCAACCACGTCCACCAGGTGCCGCTAAAAATTCTATCATCCTTTTTTAACATGGGAGATACCGTTCTAAGAGTAAGTGTTCTGTGTGTGCGTCGTACAACTTCGTCCCGTAGATGATCTAAAATTAAATTTTTAATTGATCTAAAAGTTGGATATTGAATCTAACATTAAAATTTGTATAGACTAAATCCACTACGCTACGTCCTGACAGCCCAAAGAATGTATATTCTCCATTAATATCGTGAAACCTGCCATTCATTAAAAAACACCAAGGTTTTCTAATACCTCTATAAGTAACCTACCTCTTAGATTAATTAGAGGATCTTCGGATTCGCATGATTGTAGGGGTATGTCAATATCTGCTAGGTTATCTAAGTCTAAGGCATTCAAACGACCCAACCTTGCAATAAAGTCGCCACAGATGATGCTCTTGTCATTTTGATATTTAATTTTTATTTCTTTTAATAAATCTTTTAGCATTTCCATACATATACGATCATCTAACCTTTAAGTAAACCGTATCCAAAACAAAAAATTGTTTATTTATGCATATTCTTAAAATATTCCATAAATTAGAGTTATCAATTATATCTATCGATTCAACGCCTAAAATATTTTTAGAGAGAAGTTTTAGAATACCTCCACTACCTCTACCCCTTTGCTTATCCTTCGTACCTTGGCTAAAGAAAATATTAAAACTGCCTAACATTTGAGATAAGCTAGGTTAGGCAATGCAGAGTTATAGTCAATTAGAACAAGTAAAAAATAAAAATAGTATATTGTTTACAAAGTAGGAAAAGTCTAACATTCCTGGACGACTATGAAGACACAGAGTCAAGGAATGTGTCTTTTCCTACGAGGTAAACATACTATTTTTCCGCAATTTGTTTAAAATTTGATAGATATTAATTAATTTTGAAAAAACCACGAATAATTTTATTCATAAATAAATGGTGCTTCGAAATTCGTAATAAAATCAATGACATCTATATTATAATAGACTGCTCGTCCATATATAAACAAGACGTCAAAAAGCGGGTCATATAGCAGTTGTTTATATTACCTTGATGAGTGCTCACCAGGCAGAATCGGCCTGGCCCAAATGAGTTTAGAACTCATATTTCATCAAAGTAGGAATTAAAAAAAAAAAATAATTACCTGAATGGTTACTTCAAGATAGGAACTTGCGTTAGGTGTTAGGTTAGTGAACTTAATAGGTATGCGAGTTTGCTCTCACCACTTTACAAAATAGGATTTCATCCATCCAGGTTTGTAATTTTTTAAAAGTATTTTTATTAATATTAATTAATATTTTTATATTTCTAATATGAATTGTTTGTTCTGGTAATTTATATTCTGTAGGTCTAAACAAGAAGAAACATGTACTTGTGTCTACTGCAGTACCTATAGTTTAAATTTGTCTAACCTAAGTCATGCCATTGATAAAAAGAGAAGGTAACCAGCAAAACCAAGAGTTATGACTACTGTTAATAATAATGATGTTGCCAGTACTGGTAGAATGTCAAGTGTTGGGTTATCTTCTTTAGGCAATGAATGTACGTATGCATAATTAAAAATGTTTAGTTAATTAATATATGCTTAATGTGTTTTTGCAGTTAATGGACATAAAGGTATCTACTAGTGAAGCAGATAATAAAGATATGTGTGCTGCTGAAGAGCTCTGCTTAATTTACAAAACTTTTTTGTAAAGCAGAAAATTGGGATCGATTGTTCAACACAAGTGAAGAGTGGTAATATTTAGTTGAACCGTTTTAAAACAGAATTGTTAGTGCTAAAGAACTATCTACTTTAACAGGATTGCAATCCTTCCAGTTATTAGATACCATTTTGAAATTAGTGGCAGAGTTGATTCTAAAGAATAAGAAAAAGAGAACAGTTATGTCTGTAAAGGATCAAGATATATTTAATTTTATGAAGTTGAAAATTGGTATGCTTATCTATTTTATTGGGAGTTAATGAAACTTTATGTCGTTTAATTTTTCAGGAGTGTTTAATAAAACTGGCAAAAGTTCTTTAGTATGGTATATTTGGCACTCAAAAAGTAAGAGTATTACTTTGATTGTACCTAAATCCCACTACAGCAAGCCAAATGTCTTTGTTGTAGGCTAAAAAGTTACTGAAAATACAAAAAGAGGTATACTATTAAAATAATGACTGGAGTGTCATCTGCTGGTCTTATTACTTACATAAGTAAAGCGGATCGCGAAATTTTGTTCGGATCTTTTTGTTCGAAAATTATTTAGTTCGAAAACATTTTCTTCCAAAGTTATTTAGTTTGAAAACATTTTGTTCGAAAGTTAATTAGTACGAAAACATTTTGTTAGAATGTCTAATTTGAAAAAATGTCCTTTTTAGACAAATGTAGTGAATTTCAAACATGGCATTGTAAAGTCGAAAGTGCTTGTTTATTTTTAACAATTATTTGTACGTACTATGATATGTGTCTATTTTTGTTTAGCTCTATAAGTCAAATTTATAGGAAAATAGGACTTTTGATATAATCTACTTAAAAATTGCTCCGTTTAATCTGTTAAATGTTTATTGAAATAAAACTAATTGAAAAAAGACGAATATTATTTTTTATTGAAATTTAATTCCAGGCCGCACAGGTTAGGTAAATTAGTTTTTTTTTAAATTTTGTCATTTTATGTAAAAAATTATTGCGAAGCTACTCGCGATGGCTCCAGGCCGTACAGGTTAGGAAAATTAGTTAAATTTTTATTTTATGCAAAGAATGTTTGCGAAGTTATTCGTGATATCTCCAAGCGGTGCCGGTTAGGTAAATTGGTTCAGTTTTGTTTTCTTATTTTATGTAAAAAATATTCCAAGCTACCCGCAATGGCTCCAGGCCGTTCAGGTCAGGTAAATTAGTTAGGTTTTTATTACTTTATTCAGAATACTAGGAAAATATTTTTATTTTCATTAATATATATTATACATTTAGATTCAACCATTTAAGATCAAGAAATGTTTTAAATCATGTTTTGCATAAAAAAATTTTAATCGAAAGTCCGCATTGCATTTTTTAAAAACAAATATTTGAACAAAATGATTACGACTAAAAAAATCGAAGAATATTACTTTTGAGCAAAATTAGTATTACATTTCCATTCTGCAGGATTAGAAAATCTTTTCTTTTTCCTTTTTTGTGTAACTTCTTCACTGGAATCATTATTTTCTTCATCAGAATGTTGTTCCCCATCATCTTCGATTTGATATATAGGGTCATTGTTTACATTATCTACTTCTTCTGGATGATTTGTTGCATCTTCTTCATCATTAACTTCATTTCTACTATTTCCTTCACGTTGGTTTTTATTGAAATCCAAAGGAGTTTTTGTTTGCGCGGCAATATCGTTTGTTGTACTGGCATTGAGCATCTCAATCTTATCGGAAAAAATAGAACTATCATAGTTTGTAATAATATCCGTTTGCACTATGCCGGATATTATTGCATTGTTGAAAAAGCTGGATGATAAATCATTGTTTTTTCCTATGTCTAAAATGTTTTGTGTCATATGAATTTCTTTTTGTAATTCGGTTAGAGCTGACTGCAGTTCCTCGTTTTCTTCTGCAAAACATTTTTCATTTTCCGCGTTCTTTGTATCAGTATGATTGTCTTGATCTTTTTCTTTGAACAGTTTTATTGTCTTGTTTAATTCTACAGAATCACTAGTTAATGTTCCAGGGCTATCGTTAGTTATGTCCTTCAAAGCGTTGGCCGGATGTTTTGTTAAACTCAACAGTTTACGATCCATAGCTGAAACAAAATACTTGTTTTTTCCTACCTTTAGCCACAAAGTGTAAATCCTCCGGTAAAAACGACCCCGATATTGTTCGGATGTTTGACTTACAAAAAAATATGTTTTTACTATTATAAGGGGGCTTTTTTGGAATGAATTTTTTCACTGGGGGTTTTTCACGGGGGCTTTTTCACTGGAACGTTTTTAACAGCGGCTTTTTTACCTGGTACCAATATTTCTAGCCAAATTTGTTTCTTTTTTATACCAAAAGGAGGGTTTACTAATACCTCAAGATTTGACAAGAATTTCCATCTACGTGAACTGTTCAAAACTTGTAGGTAAGGCAAAAAAATGTGAATTTCTCATCATTCTTTGCAGTAATTAGTATTCAAAATGCTTTGAAACATGAATAATTCCCGTGAGTTCTAAATATATTAACAGTGTGAAAAATGTACAACTCCTTAAGTTTACAAAAATGGCATTAATCCAGTCCAATGTATGATAACACATTTAAAAAGCTTAAATTTACATAGTATGTACTTATCTAAATGATACTGAAGCTCGGTCTGATAAAATAACGGCCAATTTAAAGTCTGACAAACAGCATGACACCAAACATAGACAGAATACCAACGTACACTTGCTAGGACTTATGCAACTTTCTTACTAATGTAGAACGAGTTGGCATTTCATACTGTTGTTTCTAGCGCCATCTAAATACTTTTTGCATAGTTTTTTTATTTGGATGTATAGATACGCTACTTTTCTAACAGATGGAGTTAAAAACCAATTTTGCGAAAAATTGGACTTATGCAATTTTCACATTAGGCCGACGATATACACGTTTTATGGACTATCTTAAGATTAAAATACGAGTTATTTTTCAGAAAATGTTGTAATTGCATACTTCCTAGACTTTTGTTTAAAGATGAAATCTTCAACATTATGGGCAAAGTAGTCAATGTTAAAGTCAACTTTTCCAATTAAACACAATGTAGGTATATCTACATATTTAAAACTTCGTTCTTTATTGAAACGCCAAGCTCAAGGTTATAGGGTAAAGAAATCTAAGATTTTAACGACGGAGCAAATCGAAAAATTTATCCAGGAAGCTCAAGATAAAGAAAATTTAATGATTAGGGTAATTTACAAGGTTTTAATTTTTATTTAGATTACACATTTATTTATTTTTTGGGTGGTTTTAATATTTGGTATTTCTGGGGCCTGTAGAATGGATGAGTTAGTCTGAATGACCCTACATGATGTAGAAGACCTAAAATTTAAGCTTTTAATTAGCATATCTGATTCGAAGACCATCAAACCAAGATCATAGTTATTCAGATGTACTTGAATGTTTATCGAAAGTATGTTTCGTTGAGACCAGAAAATATGAACAGTGACCAATTTTTTTTTAAATATCAAAGCGGAAAGGGTTGTAGACATCAATTTAGAAAAATGCCTAAAATAATAGCTACTTATTTGAACTTGATAAATGCGATAGAATATACTAGTCACTGCTTTCGTTGGTCTTCTGCAACAATATTGGTTAACTCTGGTGCCGACATAACTAGTTTAAAGAGGTATGGCGGATAGAAGTCATCAAACGTTGATGAAGGATATATTGAAGATTCTCTTACCAATAAGGTTGAGGTGGCAAATAAAATTTTCAAAGTACAAAATGTTTAATAATGGTACTAACTGTCAAATAACTGTAAATATAACAAAAACTAAATTTAAAATGTATTCTGCAATGCATTTAAGTTTTCAAAATATAATCCTTATAAAGAACGTGTTTTCATTCATTTAACAACTGTAAGAAAATATCATTTCCTTACAGTAAGGAAATGAATATTTCCTGACAGTTAGAAAATCTGACTTTTTCTTTAAGAAATTTTGTTTGGAATGTCAAAATTTCCTATCGATTAACAGAAAAAAATTTGTTTCATTCATTTGCTATACTCTTCCTTCCTTTTTAATTAAAATTTTTAGATATAAATTAATTTAATCAGGTTTCGCTACCTTCAATACCTTTTAACTTTTTAACTGCTTACTATCTATTTCATTATTTTTACTTGTCCCTATACCTACACAATGGATTTTTGTTTCCTTTATTACTGATTATTATTTCAATAAATATTGCTTCTGTTCTTCTTGCAACTGTATCATCTCTGCGGCATTTACGTTATTTCCTGTTTGATATTGTGATTCAGTTGTAAACATTTAGTTTAATCCTGTTTTTATTTCTTACAACTGATGTGGTGAATAAATTATTATGACCGATATTTGTATTCTATAGTACATGATCCGTTAGTACGGTCGATCTTCCCCCATCTGTTTAATAAATGAAAGTTTCTTTTATTAAATAAAATATGCTTATAAATATACCGCAAATGGATTGCCTCTGAAAATACGGTCACTACCATTTTTTAACATTTTTCTGTATACAGATAAAGAAATTATAGGAATTACGATAAAAGTTGTTTGTGATGTCATTCTCTATAATTTTGTTCCTATTTACGATTTCCCTAAAATGGATTTAATTTCAGATATTTGAGGAAAGGTGCAAATTTCAAATTTTAAAGATAACTCAAAAACGGATCAAAAGAAAAACACCAAATTTTAAACTTTAGCTTTAATCCATCCTACGGTAAGCTGAATAAAGTTTGAGTATAGTTGAAGCATCTGGGGAATACTTTACAAGGTGTCGTTTTTTTTTTACTTCAAGAAAATAAATAGGCACAACTGTATTTTCTTAGGTAACCCATTTGCGGTATTTTTATAGACATATTTTATTTAATAAAAAGAAACTTTCATCCATTAAACATATGGGTAAAGGTCGACCTTACTTAGGATCTTAGATCACTATTTAAGTCTATTTTTTTCCTACTGTCACGTATTTATAAGTTATCATTTCAATGTATTAGTTTTTACATGTCAGTGGAAATATTATTATTCTTTTACATTTATTTATTCTTCGACCCATTTGTTTATTAGTGTTTTGTATATTAATAAAATATCAAAATACGAGAATAAATAGAGAAAGTTGATAAAAAATATTTATTAAAAAGCTACAAAGAAAAGCAAGATGCAAGAAAAGCTGCAATAGCCTTGTTTTTTTTTTCACATAAGTAGAAATTCTAGGAAAATATTAGATTTTATTTTAAAAAAGGTTATTACGCATTCGGTGTTTCAAATCAACACTGTACGAGAAGAGCCTGTTTATCAGTGGGTGAAAATACGAGTTATCCATGCAGCTCTGCAGTAATGCAGGACAGGCTTTGGTTCAAAATTATTCTTAGATTGTAACACTTTTATTTAAAATAAAAAATGTAGATGGAGATATTTATATTTAAAATTAGCAAAATTTTTGATAAGAGTAATAATATTTTGTCTTTTAGAAGGAATTAGGAGGATATGTTCTTGTCTTGAAGATAATTCTGACATTTTTACGAATGCTAGATATTGACGTTTTAAAACACATATTCATCTGTTTCCAGTAATGTGTAAGAAACTGCTTGTTTCAAGATTTGTTTCAATATGCAGTAAGCTTGAGGAAGAAACTTTTAAGCCATATTTCAAATTAACGAAGGCAACATATTCACTAGTATACATTAATGTTGGTTACGAAGAGAAAAATATTGAAATAGTGAAAAATGGTGTCTCTGTTTGTTCCTAGTAGGTAAACAAAATCAAAGATCGTTTGCAGTAACCAGTTAGAGAACTAGGTGGAATAAAAAGAAAATAATTCCAACTTAAATGTGACCAAGACGTAAAATAAAATAAATAAAACTCAAAGCCATATGTCACAAAGATACGTTAAAACTGGAATCAAAACACTAGAATTACTCCTCAAAATGTATTTCCCTGATTGCACAACCAACCTGAGTGCAGCAAATCAAACCCACACGATCTAAAACTTTTAAAGAAGAATCTCCAAACCCAGAGTGGAAATACGCAACTTTAACACTTACAAATTACCAAGACCAGATGGGGGATTACGGAATATTGCTAGAAATTTTTTTCTCGAAAAATATCTTGAAAAACATTTATTTGAAAATCAATTTGCTTTAAAAACTTTTTGCTTAAAAATTTGCACGAAAAAACATATGGACTAAATATCATCTCATCAAAAATATATTTGGCCAAATGTGCGACTGATCGAAATGTCTACATCACCGAGATTATATAGATAGAGGTAGCCACTTTACACCGCACAGGTTAGGTAAATTTATTGTTTTTTTTTAATGATCTTATTTTATGTATATTTTTTTGCTAATCAATCTGCGATGGCTCCAAGCCACACAGGTCAGGTAAATTCGTAATTTTTTTTTAAATTTTTTCATTGGAATACCAGGAATATATTGTCATCCTTAAAAAGGGGTAGTCCTATTGATAGAAGGGATGATAACTATATTAATTTTAGCTAGCTCATAAAATTGGTAATCGGAGAGTTGGGTGGGTAATAAAAGTATATTCTGTTGATAAGTTATCTCTTTTAGTATATTTGGTTGGTATGCACAGTTTTACCCTGGGGTTATAATCCCCTACAAATAGTTACTTAAGTTCGTCATGGGTTAGTTATAATGGGTACAATATTTGTCTGATATTCCTCCTTGTAGTACTATAAGGTTCATAAGAATATAGTAAGTTTAGATATATTTATGATTGGAATTGTATCTGATATTTTATATTTAACTTAGATAGCAAGTTATAAGTGCTGAGTACCTACTACTTCTACTGTAGTATAAAGTAGGAGAAAGATAGTCCTTACTTGTAGACTGGATGGTATTTCGTCTTACTGATTCTAGTTGTCTCGCTTCCAAAACTGGATAAATGTCAGGACTCTGAAACGATGGTTAATGGGTTCTGGAGGGGCAAAGCCTCAGAAAGGAATGCAGATGAATTCCTGGCCTGTAGTTCTCTGATAGGTAAACTGATTATCGGTGGGAAATCGAGAGATCTAATTGGATCGATATACACCCATAAAATTGATCGATCCTCAAGGGGGTAAGTTA